AGTCTATCACATTATTACTTGATTCGGCATAATACTTATGTATATTAAGTGAGGTTTGTTATTTTTTTATATCTAAAAAAAATCTAAGCATTGTTTAGGGGATATAGAGCCTTAAATATTTTTATACTTCAAAAGTACACTCCACAACCCCCATCACTAGGGCATTCTTCTTTAAAATTCAATAATGCATGTTTTTATCCCTTTTTTATAAATATAACATAGAAAGTTTTCATTATGAAACTTGTGAAATTACAAAGTATCATCGTATTTGAATTTTTTGGAAGTGATTCTAAATCCTTTTCTCTTGTATATTAAATCATTTTGATATTTATGGACACTAACAAATCCCTAATATTTTTGGTGCCACAAAATTTTCACTTCTAATGATGATTACATTAGGATGATATAAATATACCTTATCAAACAAAAAAATTGATATAACTTTTATCCCACATATATTTTTGGTTATGATAAGAAAATCAATTAATAGTAATAATTATTGATCGATAGTCACTGAAAATCAGTTGATCATGCATGAATCTTAAAGTATATATGTAAAAACTACTTGGACCGATTTAGTTGAACCAACCCTAATAAGCGAGCGAGCGAGCATATAACCAGCGGGCCAAAAGCAGTGAGTGGGCCACTAGATAATGAGTGAGCAAGCAGTAGCGAGTTGGCAAGAAACATCGAGCGAACGAGTGTGCGGAAAGCGGGCGTGAGCGTAGCTAGCGGGACCGAATCACATAAGTGAGGGGAAATGCGTGTAAGAGTGAAAAACTGACTCATCATGTGAGATAATTTTAATTTGCTCACTCTAATTGAATCGCACGAATAGAAGAGACTCTGACCGAGAGGGAGAATTAAGAAGGAGAATGAGGAAAATGAAAGAAATAAAGAGACTATTCCTGGGTTTCCATTACTGACTACGTACAGGGGAGATCGAGAGAAAGAGAAAGGAAGGGAGTGGGAGCAAAAGAAATACTTGTGGCCTAGCCAACAGAGAGGGGGTGATGCGTGCGTGCGGGTTAGGGCTAGTGTTTTGGCTACGGCTAGAAAGAAAGGTAAACTATATATTTTTAATTAGTTATATTTAGAGAAAGATTATTTAATTTATATAAACTTAAGATTTTATCTAATGCCTATTTATTAATTATTAACTTATTTTTATGGAAAATTATTGATTTATAAATTTTTCATTTAAGTGATAAGTTATTAAATAGTTGTTTATAAATTAATAATAATGAGAGAGAGAGAGAGAGAGAGAGAGAGAGAGAGAGAGAGATTATTATAAAATTGAATTCTAATTAGTAAGTATTAACTAATTAATTATAGAGAATAAGAGAAATTATTAATTTCAAAATCTTTATATAGGTGTTAAGCCGACGAAAACAAAGTGAAAATTAAGGTGGATTGTCAAAACTATTTAAATCTATGTGAGTACTCATGTTCATATTTTATAGTAATAATGTTAATTTATTTAATTTGATCTTATTAAATTAATTGATATTGATTAGCTGATAATTATTGTAAAATTTTAACTTTTTTTTAATAGTCACAATCTCCAAAGTTACAATTCGCCACTAGATTTATTATTACTAAAATTACACTTAATATATTCAGTTTTAGATCTACTCAAACGAAAGTCTTTAGACTCTAGGGTTGGCCTCCATAATTCAAGTTTACCTTTTATGGAGTGATGGTGAAATAGATTGAGATATTATTAGTAGAATTCAAGTTGGATAGTTGAAGTGGAGGAATGCATCGGGTTTGTTATGTGATAGAAAAGTCCCTCTCAAACTTAAGGGAAAATTCTATAAGATGGTAGTGAGACCTGCAATGTTTTATGGTGGAGAATGTTGACCACTATAAGAGCAACATAATATTAAGTTAAGTGTTGTAAAGATGATGATGCTCAAGTGTATGAGGGAGTGACTTAATTTACTTTTAAAGATATGATACAAAATGAGCATATACGTGAAAAGGTTGGAGTAGATCCAGTGGAAGATAGATTAGAGAGAGTTGCCTTAGATGATTGGTCACATAAAGCGGCGGCCTTCCGATGACCAGGTTAGAAAAGTAGATGTATTAGATTTGACTTATATTAAGAAAGTAGAGGTAGACCTAAAAAGATTTGATTAGAAAATATTATAAATGACATTTCATTATTAGATTTAGATGGGTATTTGACGTTAACATGAAAAAATGGAGAAAAATAATTCATGTAGTCGACCCAACATAGTGGGATAAAGGCTTGTTGTTGTTGTATTCTTTTTGAATATTCATATTGAATTTATTATTTTTTAGCATGATTATTCAACATAATAAAAAGTTTTGAATGATAAATGAATGAAATTACTATATAGAAATGCTTGTATATGCATATTGATTGATCGTGCACATTCCCTTATAAAATTGATTGGGAACACAATTTACGTGTACATGCAAATGGAAAAGGTTGTGAAAAGAAAAAAAAGAAAAAGAAAATGAGTACATTTATTGGTAGATGATATCTCTTGTGACGCTTGTATTAGTTATGAGAAATGATAAATATATGAAATATGCATAATATTAATGAACATGTTTAAAATATTTAAATAGAATTACTTTTTATTTTGAAGTGAACATGCATATTATTTCAAAGACCTTGTGCTACTGTAATTTAGAAATATGATTTACTCACTAAGTAATTTTTTGACTCACCTTTCTATTTGCAATAACATTCATAGGTATTATTTGATTAACTTAAAATGAGTAGAAGAGAAGAGAATGTGCGTCATAGATGTGTCGCTCCAAGATAAATGTATTTATAGTATTTGATTTTAAAATTTTGAGATTTTAGTGGTTTTTTCTGTGCATAGAAAATTGTTAGTTAGTAATTAAAAAAAATTAATCAATTGTCCAACTTTATGTTCTTGTCTTGTTAATTTGAGGCTCTGGGTCGGGTCGCGACAATATAGGAATTAGAAACTTGTAAAAAATATATTTGGGACCTTCCAAACTCCAATTTCAATAAACTTGTATTCAAATTAAATGTCTCTAGGAGATGTACCCAATAACACCAAAATTGGTCCAGTCTAAGCCCAAATGAGCCCAAATCAAGGGATCAAAGCATATTTAAAGCTTAAAATCATTAATTGGATAATCAAATGATGTTCAAATATAACATGATTATAGTCGAATCGAACAGCTCAATGAGACAAATCCAACAAGTATAAGATCACTTAATTATGATATTATTAAGACACTTAAATATTTGACAAACACTCCATGATCGAGGTAATCCGTATGGACTGTCCGATGAAGCACTACGAATTTTCCCCAGATCTTCACCATATTCATTTGTGAGACATGTTACTCTCAAAATATATAAATAAACTCACAATCTTTACATGAAAGAGGAGTTTTTAGAGGCTTAGATCATGAGCTAGAGACTCAAGAGAACTCTATGACTTGAAGCATTCTGAAACTCCACCCCTGCACCACCTTCGACAAATCCTCGCCACCATGATACAGCTACTGGAACTTTACCCGACCATCATCGTTAGACCTTTGTTCGGTAGACATCATCGAGCCTTCATCTGTCCTCCTTCGCCAGTTGACTACTATCCCTCAGGCCACTGTTGCCATTCGAATACAATCCCTTCAATTTCATTCACCTACTGACTATGATCCCTCCGATCTCCATCGCCCGTCGACTACGATCTCTCCAACCTCCTTTTCCTGCCGACTTGGAACCCTCAGACCACGATGCTCTATATGATATATATTTGCTATATTGAGCCAAGGTCTTCTTCTGTGGAAGAGTATTATTTGCAATCGACTACAAATACTAGTAGAATCATTTTAACTAGTCATGCTTCATAATTTTTTCTCTTTGTGTGTGTGCTAGATCTTCGTACCAAGCCAGGACGCTAAATCTTATATCTTTCTATTGCTGCGAATGTTCCTGCTTGCAACAATTATGATATTTTGAAAAAGTAAAGCTGGTGATGATTTTAATCAACTATTATCTTATTTTCTCAATAAAAAAGTATCATTTAATAATTCTCATATTCTAACACCCCCAATAAAATAAGATGACACAAAGGGAAAATCACTATCTTTTGAAAGTCATTGGGACTTTTTTTTTTCAAAATCAAAATTTCAAAAGAGACTGGTGAAAAATTTTCATAAATATCATATATATGAATCTAAAATGAGAAAATAGAATAAAATTTTGAGTGGATTAATACAACTTTTAAAGAAGTTTAGAAGGATCCACAAACATGATTTGATAGCTCTTTAGGATAAAATAAGGTGTGTAGATCGAGAAAAAACACTATGTGGTCTTAAATAAACCCCAAAATGTATGATTTTACAAATTTAGAAAAATCATGAATGTAAAAGGATGATAAAAAATTATCCATTAGTAAAATATGAAAGTAATATAGGATTTAGGTTGATTAAGAAGATGTTTACGTGGATCCACCGCCAAAATTTGACAACTCTTTAGTAAAAAAATAAGGTATGTAGATTGAGAAAGGACTTTTAGGCTTAGTTTAGAAAATTTTCTTATTATTTTTTAAAGCAGTTTTTTAGTATAATTTTTATTTTAAATTAAAATTTTTTGTATTAAAAAACTGCTTTAAGAACTAGTAAGAAACCCATCCCAAATGAAGCCTTAATAGAAATATTAAAAAAAAATTATTTACATCAACAACCACGTTTCAATAACTCTTTAGTAGAAAAGCAGATGCGTAGATTGAGAAATATATTATATGATATTAAATAATTCTTGAGAGCATAATTTTGTAGAATTATAAAAGTATAAAAGAGTTGTCTATTACTAAAATGAGAAAAAAGTATATGATTTAGAATGGAAAATAATTTATTTTTAAATAAAAGTGAATGACACTCATACAATTTGATTAGTCAATCAATAAAAATAATGTCTAAATAATTTCTATATAAATTATTATTTTTAAATAATATAGAATTACTGTAAAGTTGGACCCAAGGGGTTTTCCTTCTCCATAAATCCCAGCTAACCTTAAACAGGCCTCACGCATTCAGCTCCACTTGCAGCGAAATTGCGGAAGAAACGATGAGGGCTTCGATTTGCTTCCTCCTCGGCAATTTTCTCGTTTTAGCCATCGTGCTCCCTCCTGTGGCCGCCGATGGGGCTTCAGTCGAGTACTGCGGTAAGTGCTTTCTAACTCTTACTCCATCAATTTAATGATAATTTTTTTTTTGATAATTTCAGGCGTAGATTAGGGAAAATTGGGGGCTTTTGGTTTTTTATCGGGTGCATTAACTTGGATCGTGTTTTTTACGATATTTCAGACGCTGATAAAGAGTCAATATTGAAATATCTAGAGGCATTTCAGCTGCAATGTTTAAATTTTCATCTTTTTTCTGTTTTATAAGCAACAATAGCATTTCTTGCGTTAGATCGGAAGATAAATCTATCCTTCTCGATAAAAAGAACAGATTTGGCGATAATTTTTGCAACGTCGTTACGATATTCCTGTTAGGTTTACGAGGTTTCAGAACATCTTTGTTTGCTTTTCGTTTTCATCGTTGTGCAATTAAGAGCGATGAATTAACTGCAGATAAGAAGGCTGATTATGCTGTGAAGGTTAGCGGAGTGGATATTGATCCTTACCCAGTTGCTCGAGGCAAGGAGGCTACGTTTAGCATATCGGCTAGCACTGGTAAACTCTAGGCTATTTTGACTTTCTGATTAATTTTATTTGTTGCCTATTTTTTACTTTACTAAGAAAATTTGTTTATATTTCTTGTATTTGCTTTCTTGAATTTGTATTGCACTTGGTCTTGCTGCAACTAGTTTGTCTCAGATTTTTTTTTAGATAAGGTTTAGCATTGGAAAATTTTGAATATGGTACCTAGCTTAGAAAAAAATCCAAAATATGATCTAACTTTCTATCGATCCATAGTTAACGGGTGAGACCATGATAATAATTTGTGTTCCTTTGTCCATTTATACGTGAAAAAGGTTGGAGTAGCTCCAATGGAAGATAAGATTAGAGGGCAAATTATTGGGTCAGGTGACCGAACGCAGAGATAGGTTCGGATAATAATAAAATATTATTTTAAAATTAGCGCAACTAAAGCGCAACTAAAGCGCAACCAAAGCGCAACTAAAGCGCAACCAAAGCGCAACCAAAGCGCAACTAAAGCGCAAGTCAAAAAGCGCAACTAAAGCGCAACCAAAGCGCAACTAAAGCGCAACCAAAGCGCAACTAAAGCGCAAGTCAAAAAGCGCAACTAAAGCGCAAGGTGACGCGGCAAATTTTTATTGGCTGTCCGAACTTATCTTTTGGCTCCGGTCACCTGACCCAATAATTTGCCAGATTAGAGAGAGTTGCCTTAGATGGTTTGGTCACGTTAAACGGAGGCCTTTCGATGACTCTGTTAGGAAAGTTGAGGTATTAGATTTGACTTATGCTAAGAAAGGTAGAGGTAGACCTAAAAAGACTTGGTTATAAAATATTAGAAATGATCTTTCTTTATTAGATTTAAATGAGAATTTGACTTTTAACCAGACACAATGGCGAAAAAGGATTCACGTAGCCAACCCCACATAGTGGGACAAAAGCTTGTTGTTTTTGTTGTTGTTGTTGTCCATTTATATTGGGTTCCTCTTACTAAGAAATTGTGTTGTGAAATCAAACTTAGGAGTTAGATCTAAAAAGGAAGCTACCGCAACATTATTTTTATGGATGCAGACAATTTGATGTAACATCATTTTATGGCGCCCACTAATGATCTTGGACCATCTATTGCACTAATTTTTCTGAACAGGCCAAAATTTTGCCAATAATTGAGTGTGATTTACGGGACGGAGTTGAATTTATCAAAAATAACATTATCAATTATGTAATATATGCCAGGCAATTACTTTTCCAAAGTCTAAGCAATGATGATTTTCTAAGACTGATTAATATCTTTGATACGAGCCTTTTGTGCCTATTTTGACATGCTAAATATGTTTTCTCTCAGGTAAGGGCATATCTAATGGGAAACTAGTGGTCGATGTCAAATACTTCTTCTTTCATGTTTATCAGGAAACTCATGACCTTTGTAAAGAGACATCCTGCCCTGTGTCATCTGGTGATTTTGTGCTATCCCATCAGCAGACTTTGCCAGGATACACTCCGCCAGTGAGTTGCACTTGTTATCATTTTTCATTCCTGCAATTTATTTATCTTTATTTACCAAGATAATTTTGAGTGAAATCATAATTTGTGAATATATGCATATTTCTTTCTTGCTAAGATCTAAAGTAAAAGATTGAAGGAGATTTTATATTAAATTTTTTAAAGATGTGGTGGCTTTCCAATTTATTTGAACTTTACATACTGGTTTTATGAACTTAGTATTGAATGCTTAATGTGCAGTTTTACAAGCATATATGATAAGTTTGCTAATTTGGATGGAAAATTTATGCTCAGCAGTTAGTAGCATCAGGGTTTATCTGTATACTAAATTCATTTTGGGAGTCAACATTTATTCTTGTTCCCAATCAATTTCTATTTGCTTATCACAATATTTTATAGTTTCTCTCTATTTAACTATTTAACTCTGTATCCTGTTTATATTCTCTGTCGGACCCTTTCGTTTAACAAATATTTGTTACCTTAACTCTCTTGCTTATGTATCAGTTATAATCTCGTGTATATTTCTATTTGACTGCATGAAATTTATATCCTAGAAGTATATTTCAATACTTAAAAGTGAATTATACATGCCTTGCATATTATTGGCATCTCTTTCGCTAATTCTTATTAGTGGGTAGCTTTATGCTGTGTAGAATTATCAACCCAAATAACAAAAGAAATGAAACTCGATCATTCTAGGCATCATATGTGACAAATTATGACACTAAGTAATTTTCTTGCCTTGGTATCATTCTAACATCTTTTAAAATACATAATCATATATTAGTTTTTAAATACTAGTTCTGTAATGAGCATATGCTATAGTAGATTAATATCCTCCTTTAATCAACAGCTATAATTTAATTGTGAAGATCTAAATAATATTATTTATGTAAAAGCAGTTGAAAAGTTATCAACTAATACTAAATTTAGGCGAGGTGAGTGGGCCAATTTGCTTAACATATATAATTTTTCTTTCACAATAATTTTATAATTCAGTACAAGCGCAAGTGGATTATTATATATTTACTTTTTTGTAACTCACATGACATGAGCATTATGATTTTATGTTCAAAATCAAATTCATTGAAAAATAACATTAATAATTTATGAAACAAATTTTCCAACATTACACTTGCAGGGTTCTTACACACTCCAGATGAAACTTCTTGGTGAAGATAACAAAGAGTTGACATGCATTACCTTTGGTTTTAGCATTGGCTTTATCTCATCTGTTGCTGATAGCTGAAACCAGCCAGAAAGAGCATGAAGCATGAGCAAAGATACAATGTGAGAATATGTAATAAGTACGTTTGAGGATCCGTTTACCCTTTTGTTTATGTCCTAGTTTGTGTGCTTGAACATGTTGGTCATTAATACATGAACACTTTCTATATGGCTTGGTGTAAAAAACTTATGCTTGTATGCTATCCTTAAAATGCTTGTATTTCTTACAATTAGTGCACTTTGAAACTTCGTTACATAAATGAAAAATATCTTGTCCAACCCATAGCTAAATAATCTTGATGTCTAAGAGAGATAGAGATAGAGTCAGAGTCAGAGGTGTAGAGATAAGGCTTCAACAACTTTTTTTTTTTCTGCAACTCATCAATATTATTATTATTATTTTCTGTGAATTGGGTAGTATACTATTGCTCTATATAAATTGATTGCTATTGTTATTTTCATTTAACAGTTCATTGTAGGGCTATTTTGTTTCACAAATGTTTAAATGTGGTGGCTTTTGGTCTCCACCGTCTTTACTTGTTTTCTTTAAGGAACTAAAATTGGTTTCGAGTTTTGTGAATTCGATTTGCTCCAATTTGTGATTAAATTCTCTCATAGTCCTCAAAACAATGATATCAAAGAAAATTAAATGAAAATTTATGTGATTCAGGCCCATAATGACCTACATGGAATTTTAGAGGAATGTTTTAAAATTTAATTTTTATTTTGGTTTCTATACTACAATCAAAGTTTTGGTTTTAGATAGGTTTGTCAATTTTTGATGTTAAGTTTCCATAGTTAATTTTTTAATAAGTACTATCATGTGTTAGAAATTTGTGATGGTAGATAATATTAAATGTTTTAGGGATGTATAAAGGTCTTGCATGCACAATTAGCCGGAGAGCATCACATAAGAGGTGATATTTTGATGTGAAAACTTTAGAAATGAGAAAAATCACATGGCTTTGCATAGTTGAAAGGATTTCTATATTGTAAATCAAATATTAGGTCGGGGACATTCCCTGTAAACGAAGAAGTGTTAATAAAATCTAGCGGATATGAAATATGAAATACTTCTCTTGTTGAGATGTTAGGAGAAGCCTTGACGTATTAGAGCTATCATCAAGCGAATGTGGATGATTGTTTAAGCTAGTGTCCTTGTAGTAGATGAGATTAGATGATTGGGAAAATAACTGTCATATATTGATGATTGATAGACATTAGATGTCAGTTATTGGTAGATATTGGGTGATAGTATGTGGTTTGCCTAGTCATTCTCTTTATATGATGAGAGATTGATGACTGCGATGACCGCCAAGGTGGGTGTTGAATGTTGATGGTTGGAAATGGTTTGCTTAGTCAGTTCATGGATGACACGAGAATTTTAATGTGAAAACTTTAGGAATGAGAAAACCACAAGTCTTATCTTAGTGGAAAGGATCTTTTTATTGTATATCAAATATTAGATAAGGCACCTTTCCCCGTAATTGAATAAGCATTAATATAATTTAGCATATATGAAATGTAAAAGAGATCTCTTGTTGTGATAGTAGGAGAAGCCTTGATGTATCAAAGTTATCATCAAGCAAAGGTGGATGATTGTTTTGACCAGTCTCGTTATAGTAGGGGAGATTAGACGATTGCAAAAATGGTTGATGGACATTAGATCTCAGTTATTGGTAGACATTAGGTGATATTATGTGGTTTGCTTAGTCATTCTCCTTATAAGATGGGAGATTGATGAGCACTAAGGCAGTTGTCGGAAGTTGATGGCTAATATATGTCGAGCATCAATAGGCATTAAACATCATTCGACTATGAAGTTTGGATGTTTGGGGATGGTTAATGATATGCTCAGTAGTTTTACTTGTATGTGGGGAAACTAGTGAATAAGAAGCTTGAAGTCGAATGATAGTGGCTACCAATACTGGATTTTTATAGACGTCAGATTATGGTTGATTGGGAACATCATACCTTGAGTGATGGCTAATGGTTCGCTCAATCTTCCTCATCATTAGTAAGAATAATGGCTAGAAGCCATACGTTAATGGTTGACATATTTGTTCGATGACTATATATCAACTATGAGTTTGATGATTGGTGCCTGATCAGTTGACCTCCTTATTAAAAAGAAGACTGACAACATGGAGGGATTTAGATGTTTGTGACTGAAAACATCAGACATTGGCAAACACCAAATGAAGATAGATTAGGAATATTAGGAGCATGGCAATGTTTGTTATTTTGCTTTTTTGCTCAATCATGCTTCCTGTAGAGGAGCTCCGAGGAGGAGATTAATTACCAAGAGGTGGGTGCCAAACGTCGACAATTAGCATATATCAAACATTGACAAGCATCAGATGATGGCTGATTGAGAATTTGTACATTGGGCTATGACCAGTTGTATGCTCGTTCATTCTCCTTATACCAAGAGAGACTAACAACCAAGAAGGTGGATGCCATGTGTTGGACTTCGAAGTTTGGCAGATGCAAATCATTAGTAGACGTCAAACATTTGACAACTGTTAATGATTTGCTTGATCATTTGGTAGGTTTAAATATTGGGAGACGATTGGTGATATACTTAATCAATTTTTCTTATAAAAGGGAAAATTAGTGATGAGGAAGGCATAAATCATATTTTGGTGGCTACTAGATGGTTGACACTAGCATATATTAGATGATGGTAATTGAGACCGTTGAACATCGAGCGATGGCCTATGAGTTGCTTGGTCATTGACACAATTTAAAAGGGTTACATGTTTAATTTTTTACTTTAAAAATGACTTTATCCATATAATAATAATATTCTGAAAGCCTTCTTTGGTGGCCATTCAAGTCCGACTATGATAGTTCTTAGGCCTCGTTTGGTAGCAGGAGGAGTTTTGATGAGAAACGGTGGTTCCAAAACTGCCTTTCACCAACGGAGAAGCAAAAATAGAAAGCTTCACAAATCGGCACGATAATGGAGGTTTGAAACAAACAGTTTTGTAAAAGGTATGCATCCAAACAACAACCGATATTCTTTTTTCACATTTTAGAACGGAAATGGCACTAATTAAGTCCAACCAAATCAGTCTTCTAGTTGGAGCAGCTGGGAGTATATCATTTGCGCTACCATTTTCCCATAAGAGGCAACAAAACTTGAGTGACTATTGCTCTTTAGTTTTGGAGGTAATTTACTGCTTTTGCATTATTGTCCATTTCCGACTTCCTTGCAAGCTCTTGAAGTTCTAGTGGCATAGAGAAAGAAAAAATTCAGAAGGGCAACCCACAGTTCTTAAGATCCAGAATTGTAAAATTTCTTAGGCAGTTGTAACGAAAAAGTCCATTGGCGGGAAGATTTTTAGTAGTTGTAATTGAGGGGAAACCACTCTATTGAACTCCTGCTGATCATTTCACAGGGTTCTCTTTTTATCCTTCGTGTTATTGTCTCTTTTTTTTTATGAGAAATTATCAAATACTTATAAAATAACTTTTAAATATTTAATTAAATAATTTGTAATTAAATATATACTTATTTTAAAATAATAATTAAATGATTTTCAATATACCTATTAATCAAATACAAGTAAATAGATAATTGTCACTATAATTAATAATTAAATATATAGTTAAAATTTTTAATGATCAAGCTATATTTTACTTGTATTATTTATAATTGTAATTTTTTGATAGACTTCGGCTTCGTTTTGGCTAGATTTAGCGTAAATCCGACTTAGGCTTCGTTTGTTTTTTTAGTGCTTTTGTAAAAGACAGTTTTAAAAAACATTAGTTAAGAAAATGGAGTTTTCTAACGGAGAAGCACATATAAAAAGCTTTCTCAAAACTGCAGAAAAATGAAAAAAAGGAGTTATTGGGAACGTGATTTGACGAACCAAACAACACAAAAAAATCCTCCGTTTCCGAAAACGGAGAATGCAAAAAAACGCTCAAACAAACAAAGCCTTCATATTCATGTACTATTGGTCAATTTATAGAGCTTGAACGTGAACTCATATAAATGACGGTAGATAACGGTTAAAAAGTTTTTAGATTTATATATCGCCGTCATTCCCAGCGAGATAAGTGGCTGCAGCACATTCGCGTCAATTATCCTCCTCCTTGTTGGGTCTCGAGTCCCACCTCGAATCAATCTCCATTAGTTTCCAAACCCACGGGCTTATTTGACCTCTACAAATAGAAGAAAGGAGATAGCTTTAGAAGGGAAAATTATTCTATACGAACTTTAATATAATGCCGATATGAGTATTTATAGAATTTGGCACGTATTTTTTCAAATCTTCACGTGGCCTGATGACCCGATTGGTGTAGACAAAAAAAATTAAGTTTTATTAAAAAGTCCCATAATATCTAGGGTATAGGGTTTTGGTGGACTGTTTTTGCTACCTGAGATAGGATTTCTCCTCGGAAGAAAGTTAAGAAAGAAAAGAGAGAAATAGGCTATGAAGATGAAAACTGGTTTGGAGGATGTCATATTCTCTGAGGAAATGAAAGGATTTATGCAAAACATTTAGGAAGACTCACTGCAGCAAGCAATGGGAGAAAAATCAATGATTTTATTGGTAAATTTCAAACTCCAAAGAGGTTTTACTTTTTTTATTTATAAATATAGAGTTTTTAATTGCTTAGGATGTATCGTTCAAATCTTTATTGCTCATCCAAAGTTCTATTTCTTTGCACAAGCTTAGATTCAAGTTTCGATTATGTGTACATGTTTAGTTAAAACTTATATTACAGTGTAATATTGCTGTGCATTATTACTATGTATTTTTAGGGTGCACCGTTGCTATGTACCACTGTTGTATACTATTGTCTATCGCTTCTATGTATCGTTGTTGTGTACCACTGTGACTTTTGTATACTGCCATGCTTATATTAATTTGATTTAATACGTTTTTCTTGTGTATTGGGTGTTTATAATTCTGAGAAGGAAGCATATGATATATACTTCCATTATGCTCATAATGTTTGTTTTAGTTTTCGCAAAAAAAACCACAGTTATTGGCCTAATTCAAGTTAAATAAGATTTAAGGACTTTTTCTTTTCAAAAGTTGGCTTTAAGAAGGGTATTGACTTAAATTCCCAATTAAAATATCAAAAATTAAATGCCAGAGTGGGATGTCTCGCTATGATTAGATTTTTAGTGGATGAAGATGGAGTTTGGACGATGCAAAAATATATAGAGAGTCACAATCACGAATCAGCTAGGTCGGAAGATCAACATATGCTTTGATCATGTAGGAATATTAATGATGGGAAGGCATCAGTTCTTAAAT